AGAAGGTACATCGAAGAAAAAGGCCAACGGAAAGGCTCGATGATCCCCAAGCGGATCCTTGCCTACTCCAAAGGCAAAACAAAATCACTCCATGACTCGGCATCATCTTCACATGAGTCGTCAACCATACTCATTTAAAGATCTGACCACTATCCTTCCATCCAAGGAAAAGGAAGTCATCAACATAAGAAAAAGCCAATGGAAAGGCTTGATCATCCCCAAGAGGATCCTTGCCTACTCCAAAGGCAAAATAAAAAATTACTTCGTGACTCAACACCACCACATGAATCGTCAAAAAGAGTCAGTTGAAGATTCAATCAACATCCTTCCATCTAAGGAAAAGGAAGTCATCAATATGAAAAAGCCAACGGAAAGGCTTGATCATCCCCAAAGAGGATCCTTGCCTACTCCAGAGGCAAGACAAAAAGATTACCTCACGACTCAACTTCATCACCACATGAGTCATCAAGCAAACTCATCCAGAATCTCCGCTTCATTCCCCAAAGGAGAATAAGGACTACACAAAAGTCCATCAAAGAAAATACGGAGTCAAATCCTCCATATCACCAGGGAGCAACAAAAAAGAAATAAAAACTTTCATTCCCCAATAAAGGCCACAACAAAAAAAGCCAAATAAAAAATCTCCAAGAAGAGCATATCAAGAAAAGTCTACAAAAGACAAAAGGAAGAAAAATCTCTTCATCCCGCTCAAATAAGAGCTTCACAAAAGACAAGGAAACCGACAGACTCCGCGGTGAATCTCCAAAAAAAAGAAAAGAAGAAAATTTATTCATTCCGCTCAATGAAGAGCTTCACAAAAGACCAGGAGCTCAAGACTCCATCATCATAAAAAAAATCAAATCAAGGATTAGATCCCCTAAGAAAAGAAAAATTCCCGAGGGATCGCTAAAAAAGAAAAGAAAAATGATATCTTTTCATCCAAAGAAAAAGCCAATGTGCATAAAAAGGCGCACATATAAACCCATTCCCCAGCAGGAATAAGAGAATAGGCAAAGCCAGCTCAAACAACAGCATCCAATAAGGAGTCAAAAACTCCATTCCTCCCTAGGGGGCAATTCAAAATAGATCCCCAGAAAACAACCAAATCCCTGGTGGATTACCAAAAAGAAAAATCCCCAGCAAGCCTACCAGCAAAAGGCAAAATACAAATTCATATCCTCAGGGAGTTAATCAATTATAACACCCAATATGAATATCCCCAGTGAAAGGCGAAACCCTCACTCCCAAGAATGCCTATGCTTACTCGGAAACAAGCAAAGAGCCGATATCCCCAAGAAGCGGGAAATCAACCTATGCAAGACGCAATACAAGCACAAAGCTTCCAATAAAGCATCCACCTACTCAGAGGTATTATCAAGAGCAAATATCCTCAAGTAGAACATCATCCTATTCAGAGGCGAAAAACAACAAGTAAAAAGCCTTCACCACTATCGAAGCATCTGCCTAATCAAGAGGCACAATCAAAAATCAACAAATCCCCAGTGGATTCCTGCCTAAAAAGAGGCAATCAACAGGAATCCTCGGCCAAGACCGGATGGCTAAAAAGCCAAAAACAAAGAATCCCCGGTAAAACCGGATGGCTAAAAGAAAAAGCCAAAACAATGAAATCCCTGGTAAAACCGGATGACTAAAACAAAAAAATTCAAAAAGAAAATCAATCACTCCCCATGGAATAGGCGCATGATCAGAGACAATAAGCCGCCAACACATCTCAAAAAACTGGATGAGGGTTTGTACTCATCAAAAGATTGACTGCCAAAAAGAGAATCCTAAGAGCCTTGCAAAACGGGGCTCGTCAGAGAGTTTAGCAAACGCAAACTCAAACATAGTGGGGGAAAGTACCCACAAAAATCTAGCAAATACAGACTCGAACCGAGTGGGGGTTTGTACTCACAAGAGCCTTACAAAAGAAGGTTCGGATCAGATGAGGGTTCATTCTCATCAAACCAGATAGGGGTTGGTACCTATCAAAACTATTCATCATCCAAAGGATCGGCTACCTCTCCAAAGGAGCATCCTGCAAACTGAAGGATCGGTTACCTCACCGAAGGAGCATCCTGCAAACCAAAGGATCGGCTACCTCACCGAAGGAGCATCCTGTAGACCAAAGGATCGGCTACCTCACCAAAGGAGAATCATGCACACCGAAGGATCGGCTACCTCACCAAAGGAGCATCTTGCACACTGAAGGATCGGCTACTTCTCCAAAGGAGCATCCTGCAAACCGAAGGATCGGCTACCTTACCGAAGGAGCATCCTGCAGGCCAGAAGGATCGGCTACCTCACCAGAAGGAGCATCCTGTACACGAAGGATCGGCTACTTCTCCAAAGGAGCATACTCCAAGCCAGAAGGATCGGCTACCTTACCAGAAGGAGCATCCTGTAGGCCAGAAAGATCGGCTACCTCACCAGAAGGAGCATCTTGCAAACCAAAGGATCGGCCACCTCATCGAAGGAGCATCCTACAAATCGAAGGATCGGCTACCTCTCCGAAGGAGCATCCTAAGGCTTCACACTCGTCAGCTACGGGGTCAGCTACCGCATCGAAGGAGCATCCCAAAGCTACGAAATTAATACTCATCAACCACAGGATCAGCTACCGCATCAAAGGAGCATCCTGGAAGTTCACATTCATCATCCAGAGGATCAGCAACTTCAGCAAAGGAGCAGCATCCGAAGGATGACCGGGCAAAAGGGTTAACTCCTTCCCCTGCCAACTAATCTTGTCGGCATATTAAAACCAACAAATTAGTTAGGCAGGTGAAGGGGGGGCAGTTGTAAACCCCTAATTTTGCCCAGCCTCTCAAAATAAAAGCTAGGGAAACTTCATACAGTTCACCCGTCTTCATATCAAAGAAAAACCGAGAAAGACCTTCTGCAACAAGACGGAGTTCACCCATCCACACAATAAAGACTAAGGAGACTTCCTACATGAAGATAAAGCTCGCCCGGCATCTTAATGAAGGCCAAGAAGACTCCCTATATAAAGATAAAGCTTCAACAGAAACACATCGGCATCAAACGACGTCCGAAAAAGGAAAGGAAAGCTTCCCGGGGGTCCCAAAAACGCGAAGGCAGGCCAAAACCGGTTGGGACAGCCGTCCCAAACTGGGACGGCCGTCCAAAACACAACAGGCCGTCCCAAACACCAAAATTGCATGTGAGACGCACGTCTCACCTTTGGGACGCGCGTCCCAAACCCCCAAATTCAATTGGGACGGTCGTCCCAAAAACAACAGGCCATCCCAGATTGACCCAGTGTAAAATGTGCAGTTGGGACGACCATCCCAACCCAGACGGCCGTCCCAGTTGTCCAGGCTGCGAAATCTATAAATAGGAGCCTCATTTTGACACACCTCACACCCCAGACAACTCCAAGACTTGTCTTCTTCTCTCCCTGCTTCGAATGATCTCTCTGATTGCCTTTAATAGGTAACAATCAGTTAAGGAATTTGTATTCCGACATTCGATTCTTCTAGAAAATTTAGTCGAGTCGATATTGTAATCGAGAGGAGAGTCATTGTAGAGCGAAGGATTGCCGCAAAGCGTCCTCTGTATAAAAGACTTATAATATAAAGCTTGCTTCAGAGGTTCTTCTCAATTCTCTTCCCTTTTATTGCTTTATTTACTGATTTCTGTATGCAATGTAGATAAAACCATGTAGAGGCCATATTTAAATACTGTATGAATAAAATAAGGGTAATAGCGTAATTTCTTGTAATCTTTACTTAAATGAATTAATCCGTCATAGGGAACCCGAAAGGGGCGTTGTGGGGTGCTAATACCTTCCCCACACGTAACTAACTCCCTTACCCGACTCTGGTTATAATGGCCAAGTTTGGTTTTTACTAAAATCAATGCCTTTTTCTCCTTTTCCAATGTTTATGGTCAAAACATTGGTGGCGACTCCAAAAGAACCCTTTTCGAAAACCTTGCTTCTATTAGAGGATAGTTCAGCGTTGAGCGCCTCGGAAGCAATGAACATATTTTTAACAAAAAACGCGAGTCTCAACCATCTTTTCACGACCGCTCGCAATAACGTTCGAGATGTCCCAGGACGTCGGAACGGACGGCGGCGACAAGGGGGAGTGTGAAGAAACCTCCGGAGCCAGCTTTGATTAATACTATTAAAAAATAGGGTGCATTTTGGCAACCCTTCACTCTACAACGTCAACTTTTCTCTCTCACGATGTTATAAAAACTCTCTTAAAAACTCTCAGAAACTTCGGAAATGCTTCGGAGGGGCTCTAAAAGAAGAATTCTAAGAGATGCTAGGAGGAAAGGTGGAAGAACTGTGTGAAATGGAGGGGAGAGTGCTCCCCTTTTATAGGGATTTGCGCCAAACAGGTCGAGACTGCCGTCTCGCCTGGCAAGATCAAGACGGCGATCTCGATTTTAACAAATGGTGAGACCACCATCTCACCAATCGAGACGGCAGTATCGACTTGCCAAATGGCGAGAGGGTCATCTCGCCAATCGGGAAGGTGATCTCGCCATTGGCAAGTGGTGAGATGGCCGTTTCGCCAAATGAGACGGAGGTCTCGACTTTGCCATTAGGCGAGATGGCGGTCCCGATAAGCGAGACGGTGGTCTCGACCCCTAAAGTGGAAATCCTTATTTTTTCGTACAAAAAAAGCCTTCCTACTCTAATATGGGGCCTAATAGTCTCTCCTAGTGGCTTTTTAGGCCTTGCCCATCTTAGATTTAGAGGTCTTCTGCTCTTTATATTGAGGCCGGGTAAGATTTGGGGTCTACAATCATCTAGGAAAATATTATAATCTTCTAGTTGTTGCTTCATCCATAGGATTTGTGCACAACAATTTCCAGTTGCAATATATTCAGCTTCAGTTGTGGACAATGCAACACATGCTTGTTTCTTAGAATGCTAAGATACTAAAGATGATCCTAATGTATGACATGTTCCACTAGTACTCTTTCTATCAATCTTACATCCACCATAATCAACATCAGAATATCCTATTAAACTAGGAGAAGCTTCGGCTGGATACCATAAACCAGTTTCTGTAGTTCCTTTTAAATATTTTAAAATTCTTTTTACTGCAGTTAAATGAGATTCTTTTGGACATGCTTGAAATCTAGCACAAACACAAACAAAATGCATTATATCAGGTCTAGTTGTAGTTAAGTATATTAGTGAACCTATCATACCTCTATACATACATTGATTAATTTCCAAACCTGATTCATCCTTGTCTAAATAGCATGATGTTCCCATGGGTGTGTTAGCTTCCTTTGAAGTGTCCATTTCAAATTTCTTGAGAATCTCTTTGCAGTATTTGGTTTGAGACACAAAAATGCCATCTTTAAGTTGTTTAATTTGAAGTCCAAGAAAGAATGTTAATTCTCCCATCATTGACATTTCAAATTCACCCTGCATTATCTTAGTAAATACTACACACAAGGAATTATCAGTTGATCCAAAAATGATATCATCAACATATACTTGAACTAATAAGATATGTTATACTAGTATTAGGCACACAATGCAAATCAATCAAATAGATATTATTATGCCTAATGTCTTTCAATGCTATATTTTCGGAATCCTTTAAATGTATGGTACAAAACTTACTTTCAAAGATTACCTTGAATCCTTTGTCACAAAGTTGACTTATACTTAGGAGATTATGCTTTATCCCATCAAGAAGAAGCACATCCTTTATCTCCAAAGTATTTGCACCACCAATGTTTCCGATTCCAAGTATTCTTCCTTTGTTGTTGTCCCCATAGGTTACATATCCTTGTTCTTTAGCTTTGAAACTTACAAATTTCGTTTTGTCTCTGGTCATATGTTTTGAACATCCACTGTCAAGATACCACATAGACTTCTTGGATTTGGAAGTTTCCTACAAAACAAGAACATAGTAATCTTAGGTCCCCATAACTTTTGGGTCCTTGGGGTTAGAGACAATCAAATTATTTCACTATAGGAACCCAAACATATTTTCCTTTAGGAACACCAAAATGTTTAATTCTACACCTATTTGAAGTATGACCATGATTCATACAATAAAAGCATGCATTAGATGTAATCTTTGAATATGATACATTTCTAACTTTTGAAGTTTTAGTTCCTTTTCAACCCATACTCTTCTATTTTTATTCTTAGGCTTTTTCAATGGAACATGACAATTTTCTCTATTTTGAACAATAGTCTTATCCTTATAACTATCACTTAATTCTTTCTTAGCTTTATCAAGCAAATGGCTAAGTATACCAATATCATATTCATACTCTTTACATGATGCACATGCTATACTTTTATTATCTTTTTCCTCTAAAGATGCAATTTTCGTTTTCAAGGATTCCACCTCTTTTTCGGATTTATTTAAACACTTTTTCACAGATTTATATTCATTTTTCAAGTCCTTTAAAGCAGTAAATAATTCTCCATATGCATTTTGTAAAGCATTATAATCATTTTCATCATCACTTGAGTAAGATTCGGAATCACTAACCTCAAAGTCGGAAGAGATGTCATTTTCCATCAAGCAAATGTTTGCTTCAATTTCCGAATCACTTGACTCCGAACTTGAGTCACTATCATCCCAAGCAATGTAGACTTTCTTCTTGAAGAATTTCTTGCCTTTATGATCTTCATTTTTCTTATTTGGACATTCGGTTTTTACATGTCCTGTTTCACCACAACCATAACATTTAATATTTAAGGAAGTACTTTCTCTTACCTTTCCTTTACCTTTGAAGGGTTGTTTCCCTTTGGCTTTCATGAACTTTGTAAATTTCTTTATCATTAGACTCAAATTTTCATCATCTTCATTCTCCGAGTTTTCTTCCTCCTTCTTGTTCTTACTCTTGGAAATTTTAGTTTTGAAGGCAAGATTCCTCTTTTTATGTTGGCCTTCTTCATCATTTAGCCTTCCGAGTTCAAGTTCATGTTCTCTCAATTTTCCAAAGAGCACCACCATAGACATGGTAGCAAGATTTTGTGACTCTGTGATAGTTGTCACCTTAGGTTGTCATTTCCTATCCAAAGATTTAAGAATTTTTACATTTAATTCATCAATATATAAAATTTTACCTAACCCGGTGAGATGGTTCACGATATGTGTGAAACGCTTTTGAACGTAAAAAATCGTTTCTCCTTGTTGCATCTGGAACATATCATATTCTTGAATTAGTGAGTTCTTCCTTGCTCTTTTAACGTCATCGGTACCTTCATGGGTTACTCCTAGCATTTCCCACATTTCTTAAGCACTCTTGCAAACGGATATTCTGTAAAACTCATCAAGGGTTAAAGCAGATTAAATTATATTTCTAGCCCTAACATCTAGAAAATGGTTTTGGTACCTCTTCTCCATTTTCAATAACTTTAGGAATAAAGGGACCGTTTAAAATTTCATCCCAAACATCTCTATCAACAGACTCCAAAAATATTTGCATTCTAACTGTCCAAAAAAGATAATTTTGCCCCGCAAAAAGTGGGGGTCTATTGATAGAAGCACCCTTGGCAAAAGTTTGATTTTGTCCGACCATTTTTTGAAAATTGAA